CGAAATGTCTCCTGCTTTCCAGCGAGCACCATCCGTCACCGACAACTCCACTCTGCCACGTCCGACCGCCCCACGTCGCCCCGTCCGAGGTCGCGGACGGCGCCGACGCCCAGAGGAGAGCAATCGACGTGCGACGACAGCGGCGCGGCGCCTCCACCCCCGCCGCCCACGGCGCCGCACGGCCCGCCCCGCGCTGCCCGACGTGTCGCTTAGCACGCACTGCCTGTGGCGTCGCCCGAGGGCATGCGGCGAGGCACGTGTCCCAGCGGATGGCCGACGCCCGAACGCCGACGGCCGCCCCGCCCCCGCCGACGCCACCAGCCGCCTGCTCGCGAATGAGGACGAGGAGCAGCCCATCGACGCAAGCAGGTGCATGAGGAAGAGGACGCTCCGGAGGATAGTCTGCCCGCTGACCGCACAGATGGGATACGGCTGGGTGGAGATGAAGAAACGACCATCAGAAGAAGCCTCAAGAGGATCATCGAGCCCATGGCAGCCCACGATGGGTAACGGTAACGCATGGCATGAGACCAACAATATCACGAAAACCCCAAGAAGCTCAAGATGACAAGATGAGGCGAAAATGGGATGACATGAGGAGCATGAATCTCAAGGAAGCTACAAATGATCATTGATCGCAAGGAGCTCCATCCCGCCACGTGACCCGCATGGGTACGGTACCCGGTGAAAATGGAGAGCAAAACGCTCAGGGCGAAACCTCAAGAAGCGCATGACGCCATGTGCCCATGTGGCGTACGGCACTCTCAGACGTCCGAAACTCAACGCATCCCAGCCCCTCACCAACATCCTAGTGTTGACAGCAACTCAAGAGAACGAAGGCAACAAAATGCCCAGGTAAACCAAGACGTGAGAATAATGCCCAGGATTGACGAATGCATCTCTCACTGGAAACAAAGCTACAGAACGAATGCTCAAAAACGTCCACGAGCCCACAGGTACCCAAAATGGCTACGAACACCATGGAACCATCACGTCCATTAGGCCGGAACCCCCCCAGGGGATTCACACGTCACGGCGGACCACATGATGCCTCGACCGACGTCGGCACCCTCTGCGCCGCGCGCCTTCCACTCCGCCAGCCAGCGTGAGGTTTGAAGAACGCGCGATTCGCCTCCTCCTCCTCCTTGCTCCTTCGTTTCCATATCCGTTCTAACAAACTAACGACTTAACGGTCAATTTCCGGAAACGTGAAATGTCGACTACTGATGGAGATATAGAAAAATTATATTAGAATATTAGTAATGACGCGACATATTGAATTCAAACGATCGACTATCACGCGATATAATTGTTAATGATCGGATAATTCACCATCCTATTGTCTTGAAATATAATTACGTGTTTTGAGTTAATGTCAAAAAAAATTTTATCCATTTATTATTTACAACATACTACATTATTAATTATAAAAGTATAATTGTTAGCTAGTAAAAATGTTTGAATGTAGCATTTATTAAGTTAAGTCTAGAGTTATTGAAGTCTTGTTGATTTTCGTGTAGATAAGAATTTTTTCAATATAGTCGCCCCCCCATGTGGTTACAATGCGCGCAAGACAATTTTTCAACAGGCTCAGAATTTAACAGGAATCATAAGTCTAAAATTAAAGTAATGTTGGCTTGGAATATTTTAAAATTTGCTTGATTAAATGTATTTTACGTACAACTTTCCGGACAAATATTAAATAGAAAAGCAATTTAAATATCTTATGTATTGCAAGCATATATCTCTCTTAATGAAAGATGTCGCAGTTGTAAAGGCCAATTTTGTGCTACTATGCGGAGACCCACAACGATGTTAGCATTATATTGAGTACGTTGAGATACAACGAAATTTTATAATGACAATAAAACTAGCGCATTCACGAAAGTAAAGTTATGTTTTAACCAAAAATAATTTCGCTCTATCTTCTTACTTCGATTCATCCATTTATATCAAAAAACTTGTATTCGATCGATAACAAACCAACTTTGACTCGAAAATTGTTTGGTAAAACAACTTGCACATTTATTAACCTAACAGAAGTATTATCCATGATATTTCATCGATTAGGACGACCGAAACATTTATATTAGCGCCTACAAACCAGATACTTTCAACAATCAAATAATCTCCCGCGTTCCTCGCGACATGACAGAATTCAAATTTTTCTCCCCATGCGTTCGCGTTAGTTTTTGCTTAGCAATCGCGATGAAGCTCTACCGCATAAAATCACAACAGAATTTGAAAAAGTCATAATGAAATACAAAGGAGAATCTGCTCGGTCATTTTCTTCCGGGCCCTCTGTGTACGATGTTGCAAAGTGATTATGCCCCGAGTCGAAGAGCCGTCAGACAGTATTTCCCAAAAACCTGCTTGTTCGGAAGTGGACGTGGACGAAATCGCCCCGATTGCCGGAGCTACAGATCAATCGGTGCCTTGCTTCCTTCTCTGCTACAGACATGAGTGGACCGCGGTGGCCTTAAGAGACATATCGTGTTCACTACCGTACCACAAGGAAAATTGTTACAGAGATGTTGACCAAGTCGAGAATGGACCGGGCGAAATACGTCGCCCCGGAGTATCATGGAGCCGGGACGAGTTGCTTGAGATCCTAGCAACTCGGAAACGCAGGAGAGGAAGAGGAAGGAAATTGTATTGGAGGAGGAACCACCGAAGCAACAGAGAGAAGTCGCAAAGCTCCCAAAAAGGAGGCAAGAAGAGGGCAATGACGCAGTAGGCCCTTGCTTTGTCAATAGAAATGTTAGATACTACCAGAGTGATCGTTGTTGGTTCAATCACGATGTGATATATTACACGATTGCGTTGGCATTAAATTGATATTCAGCGGCTACTAGTTTGTTTTTCAAAGCATCTATTGCTTTATTAATTTTAGCGATTGTAAGTTGAAAAATGAAAGCGAAATGTCACACATACGACTTGGAATAATTTAAAATTTCTTTGCCAGTTATGTACTTTTCATTATGTGGCATTTAGAAATACTTTGTGCAAGAACACAATTTAAATTTGAGCATCGAAGGAATTTTCAAATCTAATAATTGTATTTCGTATTATTTTCTCCATTACGACAGCTTTAATTAGAC